GAATTGTTTTAATTAGATATGAGTTAAATTAGATGAAATAAGTTAGATTAGGAGTTTAATGAAATCTGATTTAGGCAGTTAATTGTGTTTATGAGTTTTTTTAGTAAGGGTATTTTTGTACTTTCATTTTAAAAAACTTACTGAAATAAGAAAAAAATGGAAAGTTGCAACTAATGTGTAGCACCCCGTTTTGGCAAAAGTTGCAACTAATATGTAACGGAGGTAGTAAGTAAAATTCGTTTCAAGCAGCTTCTGGATTTTTTCTACAGGTCAATTGCCTAGATGTTTGACCATCTTGTGAATGGGTGAAAGGGGGGAGGGATGTTGTCTGAACTTATCATTTTATCTGAAAAATGTGTTTGGCATCATATGTCATTGTTGATGTAGTGTCTTAGTCCTTAGATTTAGCCTTCACTTCGAAGTTATTTTTAATTATTAGTAATATAACCTGTATAGCAATAATCCAGTGTCTTAATAATTATATATCTTACTTTTTATTTATTTATTTTTTTAATAATTTCTTTGTGTTCTCTATCATGATGAAGTTCTCGTTCTATGACTCACTTTTGTTTTTTCTCTTCATTTCAGTGGTTAAAGCTGTTACCACTCCTAATTCAGCTCTGGAGCTGCCTTTAACTGAAGAAAATGTTGAGAGTGTACTAGATGAAGTGCGGCCATATCTAATGGCTGATGGTGGTAATGTTGCTGTGCATGAAATTGACGGAAATGTAGTTCGATTGAAATTGCAAGGAGCATGTGGATCCTGCCCCAGTTCTGTAACAACCATGAAATTGGGTATTGAGCGCCGCCTTATGGAAAAAATTCCTGAGATAGTTGCAGTGGAAGCAGTTCCTGATGAAGAAACTGGCCTTGAGCTAAATGAAGACAACATAGAAAAGGTGTGTTTACATGTTTAGTCATTAAGGAATTAAATCATAAGATGGAATCTTTTTTTTTTCTTTTCCTGTTTTTCTTTTTATCTGTCATCAACTAATTGGATTAATTATACTAAAATCCTTTAGTGACTTCAGAGTTGAGAAACATCTGAACGGCATAAGTTAGTTTATCTGAGAAATTTACATCAGAATTGTACCTCTTTTCTCTGGTGTTAATCTAGGTAGTAGGGACGAAAGACTAAAGGAAATTACCAATGGTGATAAGAAATTATGATGATATAATGAATTAATAATATAATATTCTATGGAAACTAGCTAGAAAAAGAGAAAAGCATGCAAAGTTTGACAGAGCACCTGTGTGCAATTGTGAACTTATTCTGTTCCTTTGGGTATCAGTGATAGCACCTGTGGTCTGTCGAGTGTGTTATGGACTAAGAAGGTTTAAATCTAACTTCTATGCGATGTAATTCTGTTGCCTCTGAGTGGTTGATAATGTTTTGTATAGTCCCGTATGTGAAGAGAATGACTTTGCACCATATAATGTTATAGTTCAATGCTATTTTGTTCAAGCATGTATACTATAGAGTTTGATCAGTAGGGAAGAAAAAGCTGATTGTATGATTGTGGCACAGAGGAGACAGTTTATCAGGCAGATCTCTCTTTATGTCTGTCATGGGTTTGCTGGATGCATCAGACACTTAGAAAATATTGATTTGACCTAGATTTGATGGCAGCAGCCAGAGATTCTCTAGGCACCACTTAGCACACTTGATGGAAATTTAAGAGCATACCTTTTAGTGTCCTTATGCTGGAACCTCCTTTTTCTGCTTTCGTATCAAATACTTGTAGAATTTTGCAAGTTACTTGAATCACGGAGACCACAATTACTAAAATTGCATATTTAACCCAGTCTGCGGGTGTCTTACCCCTTAACCTCTTTGCCAATATTACTGTTGTTTTGCAATTTGAACTTGCACATCTACTCCATATCTGGCTAAAACCTGAATACCAGTAGCTTCTGTTGTAGTAGACAGATTTCTGCTTGATTGGCTTCCTTTCTCAGATGATGTTCATTAATCTGGCGTTGTTTTCAATTACCAGATTTGATGTGGTTCTGTTGTTCTTTGGGATAGAAGTTAGTTCTGGTTTTTATTCCATACACAAAACTGATGCATTAGTGCTTGTTGAGGTGTTTACAGAATCAGCATCTTTTTTTCCATCACAAGGAGACAGTAAAGTAGATGCTTTGAGTGGAATATAATGTACCACTGGGCTCTCCTATTAGGAATATAAGCAAATTTTACATCACCAATGAATAGGCTCATACTGCGCTTAGGCTTGGTAGCTCTAACCTGTCATGCTGGAAATCGGGAATCACACAGATTCTATATCTTATTAAGAATTTGTATTTCTGATCAACTTTGATCCCTTGTAGATATCATAGGCACGTAGCTTGTCTAAGCTAATGCCTCTTCTTGATCAAATAGGTTTGTGTTATTTGCACCCATAGAATTGCTCCCAAAGTTTGTTCATTGTCGGGGGTGATTTTTTCGGATTGATGAATTGGGAAAGTGTTTGGTTATTGACGCAAAAATCTTAAAAGCAAACACTTGCACTATGTTTATTTAGAGAGAAATGGAGGGAAAGTAAGAGAAGAGAAAGGGAGGGATGCATCCTCCTTTGTTTGGATATTTAATGTTAGGAGGGAAGGGGAGGGAATTGGAAGGATCCATTTTTCTTCCCCTTTTAATAAAACAAATCCCTCCATTTTTGGAAGGAAAATAGAGTGTCACCTTCTCCCTACCCTCACCTCCCTTTTCCATCCCTCTTTTTCCTCCTCTCCCTTTTCCTTCACTATTGTTATCCAAACATAGTGTTAGACAGTGTACAATAGTCCATCCATCCTGGGGTACGTAGAGTTGAGTGGCTTTGCCAGGTTTTAATCAAAAAATCTATTTCACTATTAGTTTGTACAATGGAATGACTATTTTCTACATATACTTTACACTGGTGGGGTGTTTAGATGGATTAATGGTTTTGGAATATGAACAAAGCTGATTCCCACAGTCCTCTTGTTTTTATTATATAGGATTGAGATCACTTGAGGAGGTTTGGATTGGGAATTGTGGTTTTTTGGGGAGGGCTAGCACTATGTAATAAAGGAAGGGAATAAAGCTAAGTAATGGAATGAGCATTGTGGCCAATATTTTAAATGAAAATGGAGGATAGTTATGGAGGAAGTTTCGGAAATTTATGTACTCATACTAATTTTAAACTATTTGTGTCATAGATTATTATGGAGTGGATCTCTAATTACTGATTCCTACTTTCATATTTACTCGCTTATTGTCAAATTTCTATTCTCATTCCCATTTACATAATGTCCTTCAATCAATCAATCAAAGCCTTAATCCCATAAGTGGGGTCGGCTACATGAACCTAATTTGATTATTCCGTGTGGTCCTCCACAAAAATCTTTCTCCTCCATCCATTACGATCCAATGCTTCATCCTCATGTAAATCTATATACTTCATATCCTTCCTAGCTCCTTCCAACTAAGTCATTTTTGGTCCCCCTCTCCCTCGTTTAACCCCTCCATGGTCCCACTCTTCGAACCGGTGCACCCTCGGGTTTCCGTCTTACATGCTCAAAACAACGCAAGCAATTTTCCCTTATTTTGTCTGCAATGCCTGCCACGCCTACTTTCTTGCGAATAACCTCATTTCTGATCCTATCTCTTAGAGTGTTCCCACACATCCACCTTAACATGCGCATTTTCGTAACCTCTATTTTTTTAATGTGCTCCTTCTTAGAAGCCCAACATTTTGTACCATAGAGCAACATTGGTCTTATGGCAGTCCTGTAGAATTTTCCCTTTAACTGTAAGGGAATGCTTCGGTCACATAGCACTCCTGTGGCCGCTCTCCATTTAAGCCACCCTGACTTAATCCTGTAGGCCACTTCTTGATCAATGTCCTCATTTTTGTGGATGATCGATCCAAGATACTTAAAACATTCACTCATGGTCAATTCCTTTCCATCCAAACTTACCACTTCACGCTTGTCCCCCTCTGAGTACCAAAGCGACATACCAAATGTCCTGTGGATGATAAAATGCAAGATTGTGAGGTGGTGGGGTACTGTGTTGAGTTCTTGAAGAAAATCATCTGAGTTATAATTCTAATTACTGTAATATGTTTGACAGTGCTGGCTACACTTGATATATGCATTGGTGAAATCCACATAAGTTATTATTTTTATTGCAGGTCCTTGAAGAAATAAGGCCGTACCTTATAGGAGCTGCTGGCGGAACTTTGGAGCTTGTTGGGATTGAAGAGCCAATAGTGAAAGTCAAAATCACAGGTCCAGCTGCCGGAGTGATGACTGTTCGAGTGGCTGTGACACAGAAATTACGCGAAAAGATCCCTTCCATTGCAGCCGTTCAACTTTTATCTTAATTTTTGATTTGCATAATATTACAGGCTTTACAGCTATACCAAAATTGTTTTTGGTGCAAAGCTACATGCTAGATAGTGTTTGTAAGTTGTATTAGTCTTGAAGGATATGTATAATTGTACAGGGTAATTCAATTTGGTTGATCACTTAATTTAATACAATATATTTCATTTTAATAAATAGAATAAATAAAAATACAAAATTGTATCGAACTCAAAGCTTCATGGAGTTTTAGGATCCAGTATGCAATAATGTGCAGTTATGTAAGTCCTCTACACAACATATGAGGGACTGGAAGTTCTAATCCGACGGGAAGTTCTTTCCCCTATTTATTTGTTTATACTTGAATAGTTAAATATGTGTATTAAGTTGAGTACAAACTGAGCTGAGCTCGAGTTGGTATTCAAGTTTTCAAGTTCAAGCCGAGTTTCAAATTTTCAAACTCGGACCTCAAACACGCGCACATCTCATGTCAGTAGCTAGCAACCATGGTCTAGCCTGAGTCGGTGCCATCTTTAACACGAGCGCATCGGGGTATCCATCTAAGAATCACAAGAATGTCACATGTGTCATAAATTCTGGTAGCAAATAAAAGCGTGGACTGATACCCTGAAAATCGCGAAAACAATTGCATTTAATTCAGTTTTCAATGCAAATCCAGGAACGATGACGAGTAGGACCCCTCGAGTGAACCGTTGGCTAGCAACGTAGTGTGTGTCCTATCTTTAACGCCGTATCATTTTTCACCACTTTTGCACTCTTCCCACCTCACCCTCACTCACACACTTGGAGGCTCGTACCATTTTCTGCAATTCTATTAACACACAAACAACAATTCTAGTATAGAGTAAAAATTCGCTGTTTCTCTCTCCTCCTACTCAAGCTTTCAGCTCATTTTAATGGCGTTCATACTAAGCTCAACTTTCATTATTACTTTGATCCGCTAAGTGTGCTTTAATATCAGAATTGAAGAACTACTAGCTCAGTTGCTCAGGTATTCTTTAACTTTTCGATTTCAACTTTTCTTTTTTCTTTTCTTTCTTTTTTTTTTTTTTTTTTTTTTTTTTTGGTTATTTACAAAATTCGAACTATTGAATGTAATTTATTTACATTATACAGTTACAAATTTATATCTATATAGATAACTCCTATAATATGATACATATTCAATAGAATAGTGAAGTAGTATACTCCGTATATTAGTGTATAATGAGATTGTGATCGTAATAAAAACATAACAAAATTTTGAATAGAATAGTGGAAAAGTAGTACTGTAATTTTAAGTAGCTCATATGGTACTTATATTATTGTATCTCGTTCGAAGTACTATATGAATTCCAGATTTCGTTGACTTAATTGTAAAGATTTGGAGTACGCCTTGAAAATGCAGTACTTTTTTTTTTTTTTAAATAATATTTTTATGTTACTTAAAATTTAAAATTTGTATATTTAGTGTCGGTAATTCAGACACTGAGCTGGTGGAACAGTTCAAAATGGTGATTTGATTAAATAAGATCATTAACTATTAATTTTATTGTATAAGATGTTGAGGAATCATTATCATACACACGTCTATGTTTCATGACTTTAGCGCCTGTAGATTTTGTCTTTGAACTTCAAAGCCAAGCAGTACTACTTTTATTCTTCAAAGCAAATGATCAACAACCGTGCACCATTTTTCTCTCTCTTTCGATTCGCAAAATCGTAAGGGTTTTGCTAAACATAACCCTTATTAAGTTTGGAATCTATAACAAATCGTGAAATCACGCATCTGTTTTGACTCTCAGAGTATGTGTAATGCTAGCCTAGTGGTTAAGATCGAGGGCCCGTGTATGATCTTGACATCTTAAAGAGTCCATATAATTTTAATTTAGAGATTTTTAAGACAAAATTACGCATCCATTGTTAACAATATTAATTCAATTTCCCTAAAAAAAGATATTAATTCAATACTTAATGGTTTTTATAATATTAGTTTCTTAATCAATGCATAACATTTTCTGAATTTAAATACTGCATGAAAAATTAATTAATGAAAGTTGACGATCTGTTTGATGTGGGTACACAATTTAAGCATATATTACTGTATATGCTTTACAGGAGTTTTGGAGAGTTAGCTCAAATCATGGGGAGCACAATAATAACATAAATTTAATATTAATTAATTATTTATAATTGATTTTCTTGGAATGGTTGAGTGGTCGCTTTCTACTGTGTAAAAGATTAGCTTTGGCAATATCTGGAATGATTGGTTTGGTTTTATTATTGTTAATCCACGTTGTTTATTTTTCTTCTACATATATGCTTTGCCTTAGTTTGGCTATGTCTTCTGCTTCTGTTTTCTGGTAACCCCATTGTTGATTCGGGTTTTGAGTTTTAACATGCACCTTGTAATCTGCTAACAGTCGTTTCGTGGAAGTTCCATCTCTATTGCTTTGTTGTGGAAGACCAAATTGGCTTGTTCTGTCCCGAGCTCCTTCATACTAAATCTCAGTAGGAGTCAACTACAAATGGGTTTCATTTAGTGTTATATGGGAATTTTGTTGTCTGAAGATAGTGATACATTGCTGCTAGACGACTAGTTACAATTCTGTATTCAAAAATAGCTTGCACAAAAGTATAAAGAAGTCTCTGAAGGTTATATATTCAGGTACTGTGGACAATGTCGGCCAGTTTCTTTCATATGCTTGTTCCTGAATGGACGAGTATTAGAATGTGCAGAGAATTATTCAATCTTGCTTTGATTCTTTATCTGTTCCAGATATCTTGGTATTAAACCAATTGAGATAGGTCAGATAGTTGGCCATATGCTATAGATTAATAGAAGTACTTAAATTTGTACTGCATTTTTTTGGAAGAAATTTATCGGTATTGGAGATTTAAGTGTATAAGTGTATAGCGTATTTTTGAGAATCTTCTAAATAGTGAAAAGTTTCTTTTTGTGGATGGCAATTCCTTGAAAAAAAATGAGTTTCTAGAGGGATTGTTGGCCAAACCTGAATTTTGTTTGACCATATGTTTATACACTTAGGAGGACTTCAGATTTTTTATTTTTTATTTTTTTACTTGCACCTATGAATCTGATAGGAATATGAAACAAAGGTTAGAAGGAATTAATTTGGCTGAGTATAATGAATTTGATCAATCTTATTGGCTAAGATGAAAGCATTGTAGTTGTGAATCAAGCTCCTCCATTGGGCCATCCTTTTGGCTGATTATTTTGTACTCAATCATATAGCTGATTCCTATAACATTTCAGTGACAGATTCGGTAGTTGGAGGATTTGATATTCAAATTATGGACATGAAATTCCAGCCATACTGTATGTGAAGGTATGCACAAGGCCTCCCTCTTCGATTTAAGCATATAAATGGGTGTTTATGGGTTCTCATTGTTTAGAGCGAATCATACTGAACCTTTTTATGTTCTGTTCATGTTCAATTTGTATTTTCTACATGTAAGTTATTGCATATTAAAGATGCCTTTCTTTCGTTAGTAACCATGTTTTTTTTAATTTGAAACTGTATAGAGGATGGTCTCACTCTTACATTCTTCATTTGCTAATCTACTATTTTGTTTTTATTGTCTCAGAAACTTGATAAAAAGCAAAGCACATCTTCTGTTATGTTTGATGCTTTGCTTGTTTGCTGTCTGATAGGGACATTGCTACTGTTACTATTAAAGTTACATTGTAATGTACATTTAACATGTCTGTTTGATGATTTCTTTTTTCTTCTTCTGATGTTCAACTATATTATAGGAATCAATGAAGATCCAGCTGCAAGTCGCTATTACATCTGTTTTGTTCTTAATCTGCATTCAGCAGACAACATGTGGTGAGTACCTTGAAACTAAACAGTCTTGAGTTTATCTGTTATCAATGAGATTTTTCTTTTCTTACAATGTCATTTAACTATGGTATGCAACTTCGGGGCATTTGATATTATATTTGAACTTGATGTTCTGAAATATTTCTGCTGTGCTTTTTAATGGTAATATATGAGCAGTCCCTGACTCAATCTTCTTACCTCACTGAACCCAAATATACTTGTACATCTAAGACCTACGAGTATATGTACTTATATGTTACGTAATGATTAATTATTCTGATCGCATTATTGGCCCTTTTTTTGAGGGTGGTGGGTCATAATTGAAATGTGCCGCCTATTTGTTTGATATGTCAAAATAATCCATCCTTTTTGATGAGTAAAATATCTGGTTATTTTACCAATTGGCATATGCAATAGGATTGTGGCCTTGTGGGTGTTGCATGGCCTAGTCATTTTTAAGCACATAGATAAGGGGCTTCATAGTGTTGTTTATGCCCATATGCCTGAGGCAATTTCTTAAAATTTACTGAATTGATCTCTTTTTTGTACTGTTTAGAGTCTTCCATGAGTCCCATCTGGTCCAGCTGTTGTTCTGGCTGGTTTCGATCAAACTTGCCGGTAAGGGTGAACCAGGTTCAGAATATGAGCATATGAAGCGAACCTGATTTATCTTTTCTATCTGGGTGCAGAACAGGTGTCAAATTCATCTGGAACTAGGTGGACCTGCACATGTTCTGCTTATCAAGAAACCCAAAAGTCCATTAATGCAGCTAATTGCTCCACATCGTGTGATTGCCTTCCTGGTAAGTTACCACCTTATGCTATTGCTGGTTGTATATGTTAGATGGAGAGAAGATAAACCAACATTCCACAAAAGATATTTTTAAAAGAATATATTATTGTATACAAAGTTTATATTTTTGTTGTCTATAAACTTTTGTTTCCTTAGCCACTAGGTTCTTGAATTTCTGTTAGTACTCATGAATTATTAGATCAATTGCTCATCCTTGTATTTTTTATTTTTGTATTTCTTCTTGGTGTAGTGAATTTTGGATCAACTGAAAACACTTGGACTTGTGTCTGTAATAGTGGTGGATTGCCTACTTTGGCAGCAGATGGTCAGAACAGTAACTGCTTTACAGGATGTGATTGCACCTCTGGTAATTCTCTAACCTTTTGAATTTATTTTAAGAAGCTACATCAGCTTGTTATTTGGACTGTATATGTTGTAAGCTTATCAAATGTAACAATAATACATCGAAATTTCAAGCTCTTGTAGCATGGCTTGGATACTAAAAAAATGATCAAGAATCTGCCCAATCACTGAACCAACAAAAGATATAACCCACTGCATTAAGATTCCACTCTCTAGTTGGTGAAAGAAGCAAAAGCCACTTTATAGAGTATATAATCAAGGTCATTATAATACAAAATCATATATGGTACACCACTGAGTCTTTTTAGCTTTGTTTTGAGGTCACTATTTTTTTCCCCCTCGTTGTTTCCATCATCTGCCGACCCCACTTATGGGATTAAGCTTTGATTGATTGATTGATTGTTTCCATCATCTGCAACAACCTACACATGTATTCATAATTACAGGGAGAAAGATCTTACATGAAGGTAATCCCTGCAAGCATAACTAATTTGGCTTTATGTAATACTATATCCTCTCACCTTTAAAAAGATGGGTGAATTTCTAGATGACTGGAAGCTACAAAATTGAGTTTAATTTCTAAACTTCTGATTACCCTTGTTGTATAACTGACCTTGCCTCACGTCTATGAGCTCAGTTGGTGATAATTTTCAGACTATTCTACCTTTTTCATGATTTTATTTACTTTGATGGTATTGGGTGTAGCATCTTTTGGAGTTTGTTGGAAAGCAGTGTGCATGTGTTTATTTTTTGTCTGGTGATATAATGACAGTGCCAATTCTAAATATCAAAGTACATATATCAAGAAGTGGTTGACCTAGCATTAAGATGAGCGCGTATATGAATTAGAGATGCTTTATGCATGTTTAAAAAGCAAGAATGAGATTTTTTTTTTTGTTTCTTTTTTTTGAATGATTGAATTTTCAACTTGACACATGTGTTTCTAAGCTAGCCTGTATCATGTTTACTTTTATGCTTAATGTGATGGCTAATGCCCAGGTCGCTAGAAAAAGGTTAATTCTTTCTTGTTCTAAATTTATTCTTTTTCCTTATTTTAACAGGATCTTTTACAGCTTCTCAGGCTCCGAGCAAACACGTGTCTAACCGAGTAGTAATTATTCTCTTTGTATGCTTGGTGCTCATTACACTTGCATTAATTGTATCCCTCACCTGGTTTTTTTACCCAAGAGACAAGTGTGAACAACAAAATACCTTGTCTGACAGAGGATCTAGCCTCGAAAGCACTACTGACCTGATAAAACAGAAGTTTCCTTCCCAGTCTCCAGCCAGAAGCAATGTGGGTCTTATGGAAAGTCCATTTACAGGTAAACTGGTTTGGAACAAAATATTCTCAAGCAATTTCAAATTTGTGGGAAATTAGTTTTAGCAATTGCCCTTAAACTTTATATAAATCGTGATCACTTTGTTTTGTGCTCTTTTTCACAGGTTGCATTGGTTCCCTTTTATTCAGAAGAAAAATGAAAATAATTCATGGCACAGTCACCCATTTTACATATTCAGAGTTGGAACATGCAACAAACAAATTTTCTCATGATAATTTGATTGGAGTTGGGGGATGCAGCTATGTATATCGTGGTCATCTTAAAGATGGTAGAACTATAGCTGTGAAACGATTTAAAGCTTCTAAGGGACTAGATTCTGATTTTGAATTCTTTAAGGAGGTATAAGCATACCTGATTTTGCAGTCTTCTGAATGCCTGGTCCAATGGGGGAAGGCTAACACAAAAAAAAAAGCAATTTTGGACACATATTGGACTGCTTGTGCTGGTCTTGGAATCGTCTAATTAGAATATACTTTTGCAGGTTGAGATTATATCAAGACTGCACCATTGCCATATTGTGCCTTTACTAGGTTATTGCTCTATATCCTTGGGCAAACAGGTTGAGAGGCTACTCATTTTTGAGAATTTGCCAAATGGTAACCTCAGAGATTGTCTGGATGGACAAAAGCATTTGGATTGGGATACCCGTGTTGCAATTGCCCTAGGAGCTGCCAGAGGACTGGAGTATCTTCATGATGCAGCTGCTCCAAGAATTTTGCATAGAGATGTCAAGTCCACTAATATTCTTCTGGATGAAAATTGGAAAGCAAAAGTAAGAATCATACCAGTGTTATTTCATTTTTACATGCACCAGTAATGTAAAATTGTGTAGAGAATTCAACTATTAGCGATTTCGTGGCAGTTCTTTCTTCATAAGGGTTTTGTCAAAAAATATCTTTAGTCTTAGATGACTTGGCTAAAAAAAAGAAAACAAAGAGGATGATTTTATACCAGACAACCAATTGATTAGACATTAGAGTAGTTTTTGGATTTTTAATCTTCGGATGACTTTTGTAGTTATTGATGAAGCAATGAACAAAAGTCCAAGTTTTCAGAACCTTGTGATGCTAGTATGTGACAAACATGCTAATTTTATATATGCAGGTGACTGATCTTGGTATGGCAAAATGCTTAAGCACGGATGGTTTCCTCAGTTGTTCTTCTTCTCCTGAAAGAATACAAGGAACCTTTGGCTACTTTGCACCAGAATATGCAATTGTTGGAAAAGGTACATTGAAATCAGATGTATTCAGTTTTGGAGTTGTTCTTCTTGAGTTGATAACTGGCCGAACTCCAATATTCAACGTATCTGATAAAGGAGATGAAAGCCTAGTCATATGGGTATGTAATCTTCTCTTCATTCCTGCATTTATGGCTAGATAATGGTGAATGTGAATTGACCTTTGATTTGCCTTCTTAAGTTTTAATTTAGTGATTCAGTTGAAATCTTATTTTGTTCTTGCAAAGAATTAATGTTATAAGATTAAGGTCTAATTTCCCCTTTCTTGCTAGTTGGCACTTGTACCAAATTGAAAAGTTCAAAAGCTGAAAAATGCAATGTCTGAAATCTAATTTGTGAGTAATGCCTCTGCGGTTGCTCTTGCTTTAGGCTGCTCCTCGACTACAAGATAGCAGGCGTGTAATATCAGAATTGCCTGACCCAAATCTAAAGGGTAATTTTCCTGAAGAAGAGATGCAAATAATGGCCTATTTAGCAAAGGAGTGCTTGCTTTTGGATCCTGAATGCCGACCGGGCATGAGTGAAGTTGTTCAGGTCCTCTCAACACTTGTTCCAAATGTGTCACGGCGAAGAAGGTTTCCCACAAACCTGTTCCAGGTAGAGACTCTTGAACATCCTTTGTGTTTCAAGAGATCCAAATGAAATGTGTTAGCAAGTTGATGGTCCAGATTCATATAAGTCATTTCTTAACTATCTTTCCAGTTTCCCTTTCCTACCCACAAGATACCCAATTACCAATGAAGGGCTACAACCAGTTCTTTAGATCCTTTCAGGCTTTAGTCCTAATTATGTTGTAGATTGTAATGGATGCCAACTAGCTTAGTTGGTGACATCAAATCTCGTTTACACCAATTGACCTGTATGATTCTCTTTACAGTTCCCCCCAAAAAAAGATGCAGATTGCTACAGGTTGATCAACCAAATTCCTTTGTGTTTTTTCACTGAAAATTAAGCTAACTCTGTCGCATTTACAAATCTTTGGAGAAATAGCAGATCTATATCCACTTTTCCACTTGTAATGACTTGCTTAATTCACAACTTTATTCTTCAAAGTTGGTAGTTTAAAGATCAAATTTTATTTTAATACATATTTCAAGTTTTTATTTCATTGCTTTGGTAATACACATTCTCAGTTGCTTAAAGTTGCTTATCTCTTCTTTTGTAGAACTTGTCCTCTAACAGCATGAAAAGTGAACAACCATGCATGGAAAAGTCTACCAGTCAAGTTGAGGTTCTTGTAGACTCTGAGGAGCTCAAACAAATGTGTCCAAGTCGATGGTCATCTCGATGTTCATTATCATCTGACATTGACCGCAACCTCTTGGCTGATAGTGTTGCGAAATCAGTAAATCTATCTTCAGTTCAGTATGTCAATAGTCTGCTATATTTGACATCAAGTGGGAGTCATAGTACCAATGTCGATGATGATGAGATTGTGGATCTGACAGAGCCTCGACTAGAATCATTCTCTGTAGGAAACGATCAGTGATCTTCGACCAGCAACAAGCCAACAAGTGCATGCGTGCAATCTATGATGAATTGATGATGAAGAGCCATCTTAGGTTTAGATCTGGATGGTAATTTGACATGCGAAACAGGAAATTACCGAAGAATTGTTACTAAAAATTGTAAAGCAAGCAGATAAGATTTTGATCTTTTTGTTTATGTTCTTTTTTTTGGTTTCTGTGTTTTCTGTAAGTCAAAAATATGAAAAAGTCAAAATACAAATTTGTTGCTGGTTACTTCCTGAATCCTGATTGCCGTTGGGACCTCACAATATTATATATAGGCACCCAATACAAATTCATCTTGTAAATAGAAAGAATCTCATCCTTATGTTGTTAATTGATCATATTAAGTTTTTCTGAATCATCAACATCAATAGTGTTCAGTCGATCAGCAGTATCCAGCAGAGCACGCATCACTCTGCCAGTGAAAGCTGTAGTGAACATGTAGTTGCTGAGTGAACGGGAACTACACCAGAGGCGACCTTAACTTTGCAGGCGTCCTTGGTGCTTGGAAAGCACATTAAGTCTTTCCCACCAAGCCTTGAACTGTTGAACATAATCTGTAGTCTTACCTGGACTATTATTTGCAACATTAATAATTTAAAAATCATATTGCATAAAACATAATGGACTCATCTGAATTTAAATGCATTAGTATTTAACTCTTGCTGAGAAATGACATTTAAAATCAGATGAGTCTCACCCAGCACTACAGCGTGCACCATGCTCCCGAGAAGCAAAATATGCCCATCTCCATTTTGCAAGAGCTACAATACAATGCTAGTTAGCTACCTGTCGCGATTTAAGTTCAAATCAAATCAACATTAACTGAACAAAGAATAAGATGAAATATTTATTCAATCCAAAAGAATCTTCGTATCGAGTTCAAGAAACTTTACAATGAAAAAAGGCACAGACAAGACAGCTAGCCTGAAAGCTCGATGATAACTGCACAACTACGGATGAAGACATTTAAGCTAAAAGTGAAACAGCTAGAAACAAACACTCTACAGAGATTGATGTATTTATTTTATACCATTACACAGGTAAAGTAGGAACTGACATCAATCACTTCCAATCTAGCATGTCGAGTAACCAAAGAACTTCAGTCTCATTATTTGCAGCATCACAAAAGTCCATTTCAATGCCAAAAACATTTGCCACCGTATCATTCTCAGCATCAGCAAATAACAACGAAATCCATGCTCGAATACCAGATATGAAGGGGTGTATAGGGGAAAAGTCAAGATAATCAAATGCAAGGGCCCGAAAAGATGTCCAATTAATATCATCAAACATTGCTTTATTAATTATACAAGCAAATTTGCTGGAATCCCTACGTCCAACCAACACGGAGACACTCACTTTCCGCCCCAAAGGCACAGAAAACCTGGGTTCCACAGGCAACATCATCTTGTAATCGGGGCCTTCTAGACGGCACCTAAGGATGCTAGAAATTCCAGTAGGCAGAGTTTTTATGCCTCCATGCAAAACTAGGCCTGAGACGGCTTCTGAAAATATTGACTGGCCTTCGGCCCAAATGTCAATGTAGAAGTCCAAGTCATTGAATGACAATCTTGAAGGAGGAAGAGCCTGGTGGCGCCGGCGCTTGTAAAAGGTCCCATAGAGTTTATAGTACGTAACTGTTGATGGTGAAGGTCTTTTACATAGAGAAGGCCATCTATTAGCACATAAACATTTCCAAAGATAATCATCTTGCGCAATGTCTCTCCACTGCTTGCAAACTAACATACAAGAAGCAAGGTCTACACCATCAAGTAGAGGAAAGACTGCCTTTAAAATAACGCATGTCATCTTGTCAAGTGATCAATGATTAGAAGGCACTGGAGGGTTGTAGCAGAAGTCAGCTCCAAGCTGAACAATGCAAAACACCAGATTTTGGTATATAGCGGTTAGTCAACATTTTCAGCATCATAAACCAGCCAGCGACTGCATAGCAGAAAATTTAATGACCAAATCCAAGATATAACCAGGGAGATATATTAGCTGGCACTAAAACAACATGGTTATTAATCCAACAAATGCTTGATGAATTTCAAACAAAAGAATCAAAGGCAAGAAACACCGGACGACCTTTAGAATCATATATAAATTAATACTTTGTAAATCATTTTATAGCAAAGTGAAATTTCATGAACTTAGAGAGATGTATCTCATACTCAATACTTCTTCTAGCTTGAAATCCTTCCACAATATCATATCAACTTTGTGTAAACTTTAAAGCATGCTGTGTATTTAGAAGTACAGGTAAAAGTGGGAATAGTAGGACATACAGTACTCAATTAGGGCCCTTTACCAGCTTCCGAAAAAAGGAACTATATCAAAGAATCTTGTGATAACATGAGGTAATAAATGGTTCTACTCTCATCTATAATACGGAGTACTACGACGTAACATTCACAAAAGTTAAATGAATTTTGGAACAATCCACTCAATTAGGCCCTTTACCAGCTTCCAAAAAAAGGAACTATATCAAAGAATCTTGTGATAACATGAGGTGATAAATGGTTCTACTCTCATCTATAATACGGAGTACTACGAAGTAACATTCACAAAAGTAAAATGAATTTTGGAACAATCCTGCTGTCCCTGTTGAATAATGTTTCTAACAAACCAAATAGAATAAAGAGTTGCATATGTTTGCAACTTTCCATTAGATTTATTTAATTCACCAATCTTCCGCAAACCAGAAAAAAGTAAATTATAAATGAAAGTGGTACGTTTTTGTCATAAATTTAAAACTAGGTAGAGAGTTGCAATCCCATACCCAATCCACCATGATATCAAGATTGATATAGCACAATTTTTACCACTGTCACACTAATACTATATACTAAATTTGTTTAGCCACAATATATAGTGCTTGCGTATGCTATACTAATTTTAATCTAAATGTTTCAAAGCACTTATCCCTCAGAAACAATCTCTATGTTTAGAGCTAAAGCTGTCAATATTATAAATCTAAACTCCTCAAGGATCAATGTTATCGTTTGTAACATAGCTGGTAAGGCAGAGTTGGGCAATCAAAGAAATGTTTCTACGGAGTATATGTCATCTGAATGGGTTAGTATTCTTAGTAATACCACTAAATGCCTAGACACATTTGAAAGAAAGTCTTGTTTACAGATCTGCAACATGGAAAATACAGTACTAAGAACAACAATCAGGGGCGATTACCTTAATAACCAGTAGGGTGGTAGGTGTGCTAACTTCATAGGTTTGCCTATTTTTCGGAATAATGCAGTACGATTATTTTCACACTTCCTCTCAAAAGGGACTTCTTCATGTATTTAAACCATCTAAGCCTGTAAGCCTTAGTTACAAAAACATACATTCAATTGAGATAACACAATTTCTTTTCCCTTTCACTTCTGTCCAGTAATTCATTTCTTTCTGATACAGCTATTCTTAACATGATTTATTCAATTGCTGCATCCAACCGCAAAGCCACAGCTTGGTGAAATTCGATAAGCTTTGCATTTACCACGGAAACACTCACATTCACATGTATAAATCGAGAAGTTGCCAATCTAATGAGGAACTTCAATATCCCAAGCTAAGATATACAAACCATATACCTCTAAATAGTTTGGTTGGACAAAGAAACCGAAAATTAATGGAACAATAAAGTAAAATTCCCAAACACAACAAATAATCATATGAATTTTCCAATTGCTGTTCAAGCATTTAATAAGTTCCAATTCTTTGATCATGATATACTTCGTAAACATCAATAAGAATTGGTTACTAATATATAAGGTAACTACAATTCTCAGTCGCAATCCAAATTCAAAAATCAAATTACAATTCGGGTTAAATCAGATATGAACTCCCCTACAAGCTTGATTTCTTATGGAAATCAAATAGAATCACAATCATATTGACTATTAATCATAGAATACAATATAATTCTTATTTCATTTGCAAAATCAGAAATCTGGGAAATGCTGAACAAATTAAAAGCAAAAATTTACATACCACAATCTAAGAGCAGAATTGCTAATTGCCGCTACGAGTTAACGGGTTCCTCGGATTGAAATCGCATAACAGTACCCAGGAAATCAAGTTCGCAGCCCAAATTGGAAATTAGGGTTTATAGAAATTGCCTCTGAATTATATACTCGGGTCTTTGTTTAATTTGCAGGAGAGTTTTTGGCCGTTGATCGATAAATGGCCAAATTTGGGCGAGAGGGTTCAAATTTCAAAATAATTAGTTATTCACTACACTCCCTATATTTTTCCTTTGCAACATTATCTAATGTAATGACATGTATTTTAAGAAAACTAATAGAGATGTTTTTTTTTTTTAAAAAAAAAGAAACTAAAAGAGACATAAGAGTGCTTTTCCTATTTATCAAAAAAAAAAAGAGTGCTTTTCCTAAATAATGTTGGAAAATTCTCTAATTTCCAAAATACAGCCAATTTTTTTTTTTTTTTTTTATTCCCAATCTATCGTCCACGTCACCGATTTGGTGGAAATTATTTTTAAAATCGATTTATTATTAAACCGCTAAGTAGCGGTGTACTGATTAAAAACCGCTACTTCAAGTAGCAGTTTCCTTATTATATTTTTCTCTCGCCTCTTTCCTCTTCTCTATGAAAACCACCTCTCTTCTCTTTCTCTCTCCTCTCCTTTTTCCTCTTCTCTCTGAACTCCCCCCTCCTTCCTTATCTCTCCTCCCTCCTTCTCTCTCCTCCGCCATTCTCGTCATTTCTATTCTCCTTCTCACTTCTCTTCTCCTTCTCCTTCTCCTTCTCACACTTACAACAAAACCCACGCCACTGCGCAACCAACACCACCACCACTACGCAACCTACGCTCCTTGGTTATTCAGGTCAAATTCGACTATGAAACCTCTAGATCTAGAGGTTTCATGATCGAATTTGGCCGTATTAAACCAAATTCGATGAGAAATTAACATCCAATTTCGGTGTTAAGGTATGTTTTCTTGATTTTTATTTATTTTTTTTTTGTTTTTTGTTTGTTAATTTTTGGGTTGTAAGGTTTTCGGCAGTAGTGGTGGTTTTGATTGTTTTTTTTTTTTGTTAATTTTTGGGTGGTTGTTTGGTTAAGGTTGTAGATTTGGGTTTGGTTTGGGTGTGTTTGGGTGGTAGATGTGGATTTGGGTGGGTTAAGGTGGGGTACTGGGTTCGGTTAGGGTGGGGGTATTGGTAGTAAACCACCTCCATCAAATCAAACCAAAGTAACAAAAGTAGTTTAGAGATACACTATAACATAGAAGGTCTGTCTAACACTGTCCTCATAGGAGTCTATGATAGCCAACATAAGGGGTAGGTCCTAAAGCCAATCCTCACTGACCAAGCCCAGATGGTGATAATTCTACAGTCACTCGGCATCTGTAACAACAACAAAAATTCCACAATCAGTGGGGAGTAACTAGCAATCCTCCCAAAAACATAGAATCACATAGTATACATGAAAGACTACGTCGTTAGAATGCAACCAAGAAACAAGGCAATTCACAACAGAACAAATTTAACCTTCTAAGAGAAATAACATGAATAAATATTTAAGACTTCACTCTTTTACTTCATAATTTAAAATAGCTCAAATCATAGAAATAAAATTTAAAGTGATTATTCAAATAAAATAAATTGAGGTAGAAATGAACGCTAGTGGATCCCGCAGCCCACATCCTAAGGTTTGTCAGGGTGAACCTCCAGATGATCCCGCAGCCGTCTATGTCTAAGAATGGCCAAACTCTCGGTTTTCCTACTCGAATTCCGCAGCCTGAGTAGTTTCGGACGACAACAATCAACCTAGGTGATACTACTTGAATCCCGCAACCCAAGTAGTTGCCATGTTCTAACCATTGAATCTTGCAGCCCAATGGCTTCTTACACTCAATTATTTAAGAACATTAATAATAAAATACTTCATTAAAGAATCATCCAAAAGTAATAGAGAAGCCCAAAACCACCTTACACTCATACTCATCAACCAAAATAATAACAATCATTTATAAGTGATACTAATCTAAAACCACACCAAGTCAACCCATCCACACATCTTAACATGCTAACGATGTAAACAAGGTGGTTACATAATAGATCATTATATTTCACTCAACAACATACAAGTTTATAAAATCACAAAATCATGCGTTTAGTTTAGCTAATCATCCTACATCAATACTTCACAGTACATGAGAAATATATCCACTAATTTAACACGAAGAGCTAAATTAATTCAATTCCTTTGGCCATCTGACATAAAATCACTAACAAGATCATATCAATGTAGTCCAATCAACTATTATGCAGGCATAATAATCTCCAATACTAAAATTTAACTAGTTATTATCACACTATTAATCATACTAGAAAGATTCTCTTCCTAACATCCATAATTATAAAATAGTTCCACTAGAAAACAAATCATACTAATGGTAGTAACATTTCAGTTCATTACTTACCTAGTTTCTAGGAGAATGACAAAATTCAAGAGAGTATGTTTCATGCATTCAACTAAATAGTTTGCTTAATAATTAGTTATACGTGGCTAGCAATCGGGACTACGTTACATAATACACTCACAACTTGGCATGATAATAGGTGAGATGAGTTAAAGTATATAGACCAACAAGTTCCTAAATTAATCACCAATCCCATGAATAATTACAATTGCTAGATTTATAATATAATGCCAATCTGTAAAACCATACCCACGCAAAATCCATTATACGAAACCACCTAAACCACCACATATATACATCATATATGATAGGACTAGTAAAGTGTATGATTATAATTAGCAAAGTAAAACTTAGCACACTCTAACTCGTAATCTTACACCTATAATTATGAAATTCTTTGCTCAAGGGATTATGCTAGTTACCTTATTGTAAAGTAGAAGTTATACAAGTAAGACCAAAGAACAATGCTCCCCCCTTTAATCTCCTTCCCTTGAGTATAATAGGTGAATTTTGAATGGAGTTTTGTGAGGAAAAATAAGAGGAGTTGGGAAGCCAAAACTGACAAACATACTACTCCTAATATAGATGAAGTAAGAAGTTGAATGGAGGGAACTTGGACAGCTTACAAGAATAGGAAGTGAATGAAAATTAATAGGGTAATTAGTGCAATAAAGTGGGGGTTAAGACATCCAAGGGTTAGACACAAACCAATAATTATCTCCTAAAATCTTCACATTATCAAATTCCCATCCATCAAGTTCACGCACCACTTGGGTTTCAAGAAATGAGAGTTGGTCCAAAAATGAAAATAATAAGACAACATTGTACCTCTAATAACATACTAATCATACACTAATTAACCACATACATACTATACAAATTATTCTTAATTAATACTAATATACTAACAAGATATGATAAAATACATATATATACGTATATTTATTTTCGTAATCAAAGATAATAATTTATCGGAAAATAAGTTACTAGGGGAAAATTACTCGTGAAAGATATTAGCTCAAAATACGGGGTATTACAAGCACTGCCCATTCACTTGCGTGCGGAAGCCGTTGCGCGCGCCACCTGCTGCGGCAAAATATCTTAAACCCTAATATCAACCGTTCCCTATAAATAGAGATTCAAGATTAGCTTTAAACACATAGAAAAATAACCTAAAAGTCAGCAGTAACATCTTTGTGAACTTATGCAATAATCAACCCTCTTGTCCTAAACACTCACCCTTTTAATTCTTTTGTTCTTACGGTGGAGGTTCCCCAAAAAGATAGTGTCCATTTGCAATCTAAACGAAGATCTAGCAAGGAAAAGTGGTAGTTCCTGAGCGCTTAGATAAATCACTTTACTTTTCTTGTCTAAAATCAATTAAGTTAATTAATTAGTGTTGTTTGATCACATTAAATAAACATTTAATTAATTAATTTGACAGAGTATTCTTTCATTAAACAAGACTAGAATTGAATAAATTAATTGATTTTTTATCACTTAAGTCAAGGCGAATCTTGTTTATCATTGTTCTTTCACGAATTTGAATTAAAAAAGAATAACGACATTCGTTGTAATGTAGACTTTTTGTGATTAATGCTTGTAAATAAAATCAACTAACTTAGTTTTTAGGAATCGCGTTGCATATATTATTTGGTAATGAAATTGTGAAAAAGGAAGAGCTAGTAAAGGTCGCACTAGGGCTAGGATTGCGATTCTCAAATAGAACGTTTTTCTAGTACCCTCGTCCCAAACTCATTTCTGGTTTAGTAGACCAATTTGGGCATGGGTGAACTTATGATTCATGCTAATTATCTCTTGAACACTACTTGGGAGAAAGGTATGAACGAGGTTTATGAGTTTTCCTAAAACTCATTGACGACTCTATATTGGTTACTTATAAAAAAAAGTAATGATGAAATCAATTCTAATTCAAGGTTTCCCAAACAGTCAGGAATTCAAATCCTAACACACCTTAAAAAAGTGTAAAGTCCTAGGCTTTTAGAGGGTCATGGACATAGAGGAAGTGGGATCCCCAACAACGGGCTACCCTCCTTACAATTGGCATCAATTATTCTCTAAAGATAGTATTGGGCCGGCTCAATCTCAAATGCTCAAAGATTATTTCCCTCATATGGGCCAAGAGGAAAGAGATACTCTAACCCGGCCTTTTACGCCTTGTGAAGTCCTAGCTGCAATCAAGGGAATGGATCCGTACAAGGCCTCGGGCCCAGATGGATTCCAGCCCATTTTCTACCAAAAGTTCTGGTCTCTTATTAACCCAAGTGTTACAAATCAGAAGTTCCTCAAGAGGCCAGCCAGTTTAGGCCCATCAGCCTTTGTAACATTTCTTATAAGATCGTGACTAAGGTCTTGGTGAATAGACTTAAGCCCGTGCTTCCACACCTCATATCTTCAACTCAATGCAGCTTTGTTCCTCGAAGGCAACTCACCGATATATTATCATTGTCCAAGAGATACTCTATACTATGAGGCGAAAGCAAGGGAAAGTAGTGTTCATGGTAGTTAAAATTGATTTCGAAAAAGGCTATGATAGGCTTAAATGGACCTTAATTAGAGAGTCTTTATTGGAGCTTTGATTAACACAAAACATCGTAGATTTGGTTATGATGTCTATTGAATCTGCGAAGTTGAGCATCTTATGGAATGGAGAACCGATAGAATCTTTCACTCCCTCCCGAGGACTTAGACAAGAAAACCCGTTATCACCATATATATTTGTGAGATGTATGGAACGACAAGCTCATCTTATAGATCGTGAGTGTCGTCTTGGAGCATGGAAATTGTTTAGGGCTAGTGTTGGTGGGCCTGCTATTTCTAATTTGGCCTTCGCAAATG